GTACGGGGAGGCAGCTGGGGCCAGTGCAGGGCTAGGGGGGTAGTGGATCCACTGGCATGGGGGTGCCAGCACTGAGCAACAACCCCAGGTGTGAGGGAAGGGGCGGCTGCATGGGCACAGTGGGCCCCGGCCCTGATCCTAGACCCAGCACTGCTCTGCCCCCTCTCAATCCCTGCCTGGCCTCAGGCCTACTCCCTCCCTCCCTCCCATGGACCTTCCCCTTTCATCACAGACTTTCCCACCAGGTGGCAGTAGTATGCATGCACTCAACACCCCTGTAAAAAATGTTTCTCCCTCTGCCTATGCCTAGGGTCTGGGCTTTTACAGAGGTTTCCCAGCCCTTGTCCAATCCAGGAGCCCTCTTACAGTCATGTGACTGCCTAATTAGGCCCAACTGCACCTGCCTGCTGCTCACACCTCTTAAAGTGGCATGCATAATCTGTGCCCTGCTACAGTGGCATTAGGTCACAATGCCAAACTGCAGAACCCTAGGGATGAGGCTTTGGTGAACAGACCAGATTAGTAGGAATGGTAAATACCCAAATTAAGATGTGTACATGTGATGGGTTTATTGGAACAAAGGAATATGCTGACAGGACAGAATGTGAACAGTATGACAACCACAGGGGAATCCAATCAACAATGCCCAAAGATGAAGAGTCAGAGAGGAGAAAGAATACAAAAGGAGGGATTTCATAGCAGCAAAGGGTCCCCAAGTGGGGAATCCAAAGGCACCATAGACAGAGGGAACACCACCAGCCCATCTCACCCACCCCAGTTGGGGGAGGGGGGGGAGGAGGTATTGGGCCTCAGCCCTTGACCTCCATGCTGCTGACATTCAAGGGAACCTCAGGGTGAAGCTTGTGTACTGGCCAGATGTACCTTCCCTCTGTGACAGCCTTTGACCTGGTAGATATAGAGTTGTTTGCATTATTCTTATCTGCTTCACTGCATATCAATAAAGTGTACCTATTATCAAATGGAGAAGTCATGTTTGGTCTGAGGGTTTGGGTCCAGTCAGAATAAGGTATCTGGGTCATTAATCCAGTGTCTACATGCTCTATGCTAATGCCAATGACATGCATGCTGGCTATCTATGTTCTTGAAACAGCTAGGCATGGCCAATTCACTGTGTGTAGGGATAGGTCTTAGTGGCGTGTCCAGTATATTGCATGCTTCTCTGTGTATAAATGGTATGGCTGGGCAGACATCTGACTGTATTTGCTAAATTTTGAGAAAGGACACTTAGAATACAGAGATTAATTTTATAGAGCCCCATAAAAAAAATTAATAAGCATTGTATGAAGGCTTCTATATACAGGCAAAGGTAATTAGCTGTGTTAGGCTGAAGTCAGGCAGAAGGCAGAGTAGATTTTCATTTTATAAAACAACTAAATCAGTCTATAAGGTGTAATTCTACCCTGGCTTTCATCTATACATAGACAGAATTTTTTATACTTGTGGATATATCCAGGTACTGCCTAACATATTGCGTACATGTGTTCATAACCAGCTACTGGCTAGGCAGTGCCAGAAAAGATTCCTGGAAGAGTTTTCAGGTTTAAGAAGAAATTGTTGCTGCTGCAGACATGATATCAAATGTGCTCATAAGTGCATGACAGAGAAGGGACTCATGCATTGTCACGCTCAGAGAAAAGCAAATAGAGCCTAAACCATACAACCATAAATAAAAAATTCAGATTCCAGTAGAGAAAACTCTCAATGCAGTGATAAAGACTATACTACTTAACAGATACATGTATACTGGTGTTGTGTAGGTCTTACAAAAATATTGTCTATTTAATCTGGCAAGTTAAAAATCACAGTTTTTCCCCTGAAAATACTGTTACAAATAATATATAAGATTATTCAAGAGACTTTTTAAAGGAACTCGCTTTTGCCAGTATGGATTTGTTCATTTATTTTTGGTTTGCCTTTGCATGTTTCTATAGGTGAGCGCTGACAATAGGACTGGCCAATTTCACATTTTATTTTAGCCAGTTTTTATGTCAAGTTCTCATTCACTAGCAAAGTGGGAGCTAACATTTTTGGCAGGCATGCCACTCCCATCCCACTCCCCAGCTTGCTTTGCTTTCTGTTCCCTGCTATGCTGCCTGCCCCCTTCCCAGTCTGCCCTGTGCCCCACACTGAGGCTGCCTGTGCCATGGTTTGACCACCCCTGCACTAGCAGATGCTGTAAACTTCTGGGTGCAAACTATAGGAAGAATTTTTTAAAAAGTAAATGGCATACACTGGAATTAGCTAAAGTGTTGCTGGTATGGCTAGGAATTTTATATGCTTAATTTCACAAGAGCTTGAGTTCACATTCATCATTTTAAATCAGGAATGGTATGATAAATTGAAACACAAACAGGTCCAATATATTTCAAATATCCAAAAACAGATCAAAAAGGCTTAGGATCTGCTTGAGCCTAGCAACTCATCGCATTAGTATCAATCACTGAGGTATGCCAGTTGCCTACAGTACAAAAGGGCAATCATGCCTGGCTGCCATTGACCCCCCCCAGTCCAGAAGACCAACTAAACAGTTACTACTGGGTTAACTGGGACCTTTGGCATAAGTCCAGAGTGAAGGTCAAACTCAAGCATTTACCCGTCTGTTGCCATAGCAGATAGATTATAAACAGCTCTATTGCATATACAGATAGTGATCTACATTCTAAGTATATTTATAATAATAATACTTACATGTATGTAAGTAAATAGATATAGAACAGGGGCAGGCAATTATTTTGGGTGGAGGACCACTTACTGAGTTTTGGCAAGCTGTTGAGAGCTGAATGGGTAACCCCACTGTAGCAGCGCACCTTCAGGTACTTGCCACTTTATGGGCTGAGGGAGGCAGCTGGCAAGTGCCTGATGAAGGAGGCCATTTTCAAATATAGGCCAGCCAGGCAGGGCCAGCAGTTGGCTGCTTGCAGTTGCAGGAACAGCACTATCCAGCTCCTTTGCAGTGTGGAACATCCTGGAGGTAAAGGCAGGAGCTAGGGGGATGGCTTGGAGGCTCCTGGTCCTGGGCATGACCTAAAACTGCACCCTGCCAGGGTAGGGAGGCCTGGTGGGGCTCCTTGTGGCCAGGCAGCCCCCAAGAAGTGGCAGGACCATGAACCTCCTTGGTGGAAGGTGGGTAGGGCTGTCTTAACCCCTCCCCCCATCTGGTGGGTAATAGTATGAACAGGGGGAGCAAGGGGGATCAGATATGTTAGTAGTGAGAAACCTGAGCCCAGCAGGGAAGTGAAAACCTGGAGGCCCCAGAGGGGGTGGTTTGTGGAGTGTAGTGTGAGGGCCCACTCAGAGTAGGGTGCAATAAGGGGCACCTGAAAAACTAAGTGTGTTGGGGTGCAGAGTAGGGCTGCAAGAGTGATTGGAAGGACTACACTAGGGGCATACTGAGTAGGACTGTGAAAGTGGCTTGAAGGACAGTACATGGACCAGCCCCAGAAGTGTGAGCATGAGAGCAGTTGCCTGGTTAGGGGCTTGTGGCAGAATCAGCTCAGGGTTTGGCACAAGGCTAGGCCATGTGGAGTAGGGGAACTCGTAGGAACCAAAGGACTGCATGGTAGGGCCAGCATGCAAGTAGCAAAGCCTGATGGCCAAAGAGGGACCACTAAAGAAAAGCAAGGGCAGTGGAGTGTGGCCCAATAATAGGCGGTATGCCAGAGGGCCCTGTGAGAGGGGGCTGAAGTGCAAGAGGCCTCCTGTGAGAGTGGGGGCAGAATGAATGGAGCCTAACTATGAACTGAGTTTGCTCTGGTCTCAGACTGGGGAGCAATTGTAATCAGATTGTCACCTGCAAGACATGGGCCGCAGTGTAGGGA